GCGCCGCAACCGCATCGTCCGAGGACCGCCAAGCTCAAACAACCGCATCGCGTCGACGACGCGGTGCGGAGTTCCCAGAGTTCTGGGTTCTTTGGGGGAAGCGATAACTGTCTTTCGGTGCTACAGTCTCCTCGTTAAGTACTTTTATTGGCTTCGCTCTAGTTGAATCTGTGAAATTGCTTAGTTTGAGCCTGCCGGGGCTCGTCAACCAGCTGGCGAGTCTTTCGCGGCTTTCACACTTAAGATTACGAGCAAAGCAAAAACATGGACGACTTGGGGTTTGAACCCAAGACCTCATGCAGACGCGAAGATGCGAAGCAAGCGCGCTACCACTGTGCCAGACGCCCATGAAATGAGTCTAGTCAAGGAGTACTACATACGTCAAAGGATTGGTTTCTATTCATTTACCGCTTTTTATACCAAGTGGCACATGCCGTATCACATCAAGATCTACATGCATTCTGAATCAGAACATTTATGTCTACAACAGCCTAAGACCCAAGGAATCATACTACTTATGATATGTACTTTTAATTGCGCATAGCACGGTCTCTCTCACGGTCTCCTCATGAACTCCCTCGACCACGCAGCCAGCGAAAGCACCGCAGTCCCAACAAGACATGCCCCTGTGAATACGATGATATGGTTAAAACGCCCGTTCGCGACCTCGAAGCCCGTCGTCCGAGCCGCGAGAAGTGCACGAACGCTAAGCTTCACGGTGCCCTGCGTTAAGAGTGCGTTCGATATCGGCGTCGACAGGACATTGCCCAAACCGCGAGAGAACATGAGCACGCCGTAAAGCGTCATAAAAAGACTGCGATCGTCCTCTGTGAAAGGGTCAGCGACTTGACTGCAACCCGATGAAGATGAGACTTACTCGACACCGGTCGAATAAACCCAGTCCAGAGTGACGACCAGCCACCAATGAGAATGCCAAAGAGAGCGCCGAAAGCCAACACCCCGGGCAAGGTGCTACCCGCAACGCCCCAGAGAGTAAACGTGATGACGGCGGTCGTAGATGCCGAAACGCCCGCGAGTAACAAGGGCGAGATGTAGTCGGACAATGTGCCGTACATCAAGCGGCTCATAAGAGACATGCCTTGAGAATGGGGAGTCAGGGAGGCGCCGGCATGAATAGCAACGTGTATTGACATACCGTTCAGTAGAGCCAACGAAAGAGAAGCGCCGGATGCGGAAACATTGACGAGCTCCGAGGCATATGCTACAAAGACCATTAGCCACCAGTCATACATGACGCATAAGAAAATTACTGGGAAGATAGATGAGCGGGATAGTCCACGCGAAGCCTTGCACAGTATTGAAGGTGACCACCGTCCACCAGTACGAGCTCCTCAGCCATGATTTCGACGCAGCGTTTCGGACGGGAGCAACCGGAACTCCACGCTCGGGGATACGAGGCTTCAGGAAAGGAAGACAGACCACAGTGCCGGCGAGGAAGGCGAACGAGATGTATCGCAGCGAGAGCGCGATGCCGTGTGTACGGATGATGCTCTGCGATATCTTGGTATCAGATATGATTGGGAGCGCTGCATGCCTGCGTGTACTCACGGGAAGTATAAGAGGCAGGATGATGCCGCCAGCAGACGCGCCTGCATCGAGGACGCCGTTCGCAAGACCACGGCGCATAACGAACCATTCGGGCATGTAAGTCATCGATGCCGGCCACAGTAAAGCTGGATGGGCTGGTCAATCTCGCGGCAAGATATCGGGAAGGTAGAGCCACATACAGCCTCCGATTGAGTACAGAATGCCCTGCAATAGCAATAGTTGCGTGACCTGTTGCAAGTCAGCATCTGAGAGCAAACCATGCGCACCCATGGACTCACAGTCGTAGCATAGCTCGCCCCGAATAAACTAGCCCAGCATATAAGTGTGCCGAGCCACATTGCCTTTTGCCGATGAAAGCCATAGCGCGTAGCGAGCGGATACGTAATTGGACCTACACCCGGACACTTGAGTATATGCGCTACAAACAACAACAACAGGACTCACTTGAGAAGTACATGATAGCGGAGGATAGCGTGCCAACCAATGGTAATAGAGAAGCGGCGTTCGGCTGTTGACCAAATCTCCCATCGCGCAAATATGCCTCGAGAAACGAGCCAAAGGCTACGGGGAAACCCCATACGAAGAGTTCGATGAGGAAAGCGCTGGTGAGCTGCGGACACAATGTGGTAAGCCATTGCGCGATCTTTGCATCGGATGGTACAGAGTAGAAGACGTACGTATGACCATGCTCCAAATCCGCCGTCGACCGGAGCGAGAGATGAAAATTGCGCGGCATCGGGGTTAAGCTCGACATGCGAAGCCGTGTCTGTGGTCGTTGCGGGTGTTGGTGGGATGTAGTGCTCTCCGCGTTCAGCAAGAGAGTCGGCGGGAGGAGTTGCACAGCCTAGAGCAGCAAGATCATAGTGCAGCGTTGGTAGCTCTATAGAGTCGGGTACCGATTTGACCTTGTCGAGTGAGAGAGACATGGCGAAGTAGGATGAGATGCTGCAAGAGAGTTCGCGGAACTTTTATAGCGAGGCAGCAGGAGTACGGGACGGTCCCCCGCCGAACCTCTCCGTAAACGTACCGCCGAACGGGTAGCTCTTGCGAAGATCTGCAGGGTAGCGCGAGAGGATAGCGGTGAGAAGACCGCAGTCCAGCCAATCCAGATCACACAACCTCCGTCCCGTGCATCGATAACTTTTGCTGTTGTACGTCAATTGACACTTTTCGACGCTCTCGGATCTCAGGCAAACTTTGCGAGAGGTGTAGCCGAAGGTCTGCTGGACTGGGTCCGGACACATAGCACGCAGGGTACGTGGTCAACTTGCCCGTCACTGCTGACTTTGAGCCGGACAGAATATTCTCGACCTTGTGCTCGAACGATTCGCTTACCGGTAACATGATCATCTCCAGTGCAGTCCACCTTACCGGTTTCTGACTGCGGCGACGATCAAATATTTACCTTTAGCGTTCTAGTAAGCCAACGTATGCAGACAATGTAATGACAGGGAACAAACGCACGTTGCACGCTTCGCCGAACATCCACGGCCCGCATCGGCGAGGCTCTGGACCACCATTGGCAGATTGCCGTTGGCCTTCCACTATGCGACTAGGCTCAAACCTTGCAATCAAGCGGGCGCGTGCTTGTGAGCTTGGGTCCTCCCTTGCCTTTCTTTCTCTGCACAAGTCCTGCCTAAAGGGGACTATTATACAGCACATGTTTCGACGCAAATTTTCTACAACAAGTTTAGCTTCATTAAGCACCTGGAACATGGTCAGCAAACAGGAAAGCGAGAGCCTTGCGTTCAAGCCGACCGTAAAATACTCACAATGTTACGTCTACTGCCCCGTTGCCCTTTTCTTCACGACCCACTCCCTCCCCAGCCCAACAACAGCAATGACCGCGGCCGCGGCAAAACAGCTCCCAACATAGACAATCATGTCTTTGTACTTTCCGCCCGCGACCGCGAATCCCGTATGCACGGCGGCAGTCGCATTGAAGCCCGATCCACCGGATGAAAGCGCGGTGGCAAGAGGCGTGGAGAGCACGTTGCCGAGTCCGCGGGTGCACATGAGGATACCCATCAGCGTCATATATAGACTCCTGTCTTCTTCTACACCACATTGTCAGTAAGGATCACACGAAGCCGACGATGGTAGGAGAGAAAGAGACGTACTGACTA